ACGTGCAGTATTAACATCACAGAGGTTTGTGAAGTCAGGTGTTATAACAGTGATCAGAACGAAAGTGCAGAATGTTCTCATTTCCAACATCTGGCTATCATCCAAAATTACAATTTCACGTGCAAGGTCATCATAAAGTCATAGAGGTTCCTTCATCTCACGTTTAAAAGGCTGTACATAATGTGTACATTACAGCTATGCGATCAGTTCTTCAGAGCAAGTATTAAAGTGAATTTTATGACAGGCATACCAGCAATAGTTCTGCTACCATTCAAAAATATGTTTTTTCACTTCCTTTACAGATGGAGAACAATTAAAAGGTTCAAGTCATCTAAGTCAATGTTTTCCACTGTTCACTCTTTTTCTCAGCCACATCTAGAATCCTATGGACAGAACGCCAAGCTATCAACATTGACTCATAAACTGGCAACCAACTGCCACAATATCCTGATTCTCCACTTGGTAAGTAGTTAAACCAGTGTTCATGGAAATTCTGGGCAGTATTGGTAAATTGAACATAGAAACTCCATAAGAGATTTAGCAGTCCACATTAATGACCTATCAGTGAGTTTTCTCCTTTTGTTAGAACAGTGTATGGTAAATTTCATCCTTGACAAGGCTGAAAATCTAATCATTTATTACATTTGAATTAAATATTGAATGAATATTTATTTTTATTATAGTCTGGAATTCACCTTTCATTAAAGGGATAAGCTGCAGATAACTTTCTACAAACATTCACAGAAATGGAGGGAAGCCACATGGAGATATTAGTGTGGGACACATTCTCATGACAATTTTTATTAAGGTATTCATCCTGTTACAGCTATGGTAAATATACAGAAACAAATGTTAACTTCATTATCTGATTGTTATACCTGACACCTTCCTTGGATTAAACTTGTTTTATGACAAGGGCAAATGTTAACCTAAAATGGTTGCCATGAGCACAGATGAGACAAGTCAAGTTGACCCATATAAGAATAAATGAAACTTCCTACACGCTGAAATTAATTCAAGTCTCCCGTTTAAATTCTCACATATCAGATGATTTCACATATTGAGAAATGAAAGTGTACTTGCTGGTTAGCCAGCGTGGGAAGATAATAGAGACAAACTCAAGAGTATGCACACAACAGGGCAGTGTTGGCCTAGTGGTATTTTACTGAACTGTTAATGAGACCCAGGTAATGTTCTGGGGAGAGGAGAAGGGTCTAGACCCGAAACGTCAGCTTTCCTGCTCCTCTGATGCTGCTTGGCCTACTGTGTTCATCCAGCTCTACACCTTGTTATCTCTAATGTTCTGGGGATCTGAATCCTGCCACAGCAGATGGTGGATTTTTGAATTCAATTTAAAAAATCTGGAATTAAGTCTACTGATGACCATGAAACCATTGTCGATGATTGGGGTAAAACCCATTTGGTTTACTAATGTCCTTTAGGGAAGGAAACCATCTGGCCTACATGTGACATCAGATCCACATCCATCCACAACCATCTTCAGCTGCTTCATCAATGACCTTCCCTCCATCATAAGGTCAGAAGTGAGGATGTTCACCGAAGATTGCACAATGTTCAGCACCATTCGTGACTCCTCAGATACTGAAGCAGTCTGTGTTCACATGCAACAAGATCTGGACAACATCCAGGCTTGGGCTGACAAGTGGCAAGTGACATTCATGCCACACAAATGCCAGGCCATGACCATCACTAATAAGAGACAATCTAACCACTGTCCCTTGACATTCAATGGTGTTACCATCACTGAATCCCCGACTATCAACATCCTGGGGGTTACCATTGACCAGAAACTCAACTGGACTCACCACATTAACACAATGGCTACAAGAGCAGGCCAAAAGCTGGGAATACTGAGGTGAGTAACTCATCTCCTGACTCCTCAAAGCCTGTCTGCCATCGATAAGGCTCAAGTCAGAAGTGTGATGGAATACTCCCCACTTGCCTGGATGAGTGTAGCCCCAACAATAGTCAAGAAGCTTGACACCATCCAGGACAAAGTAGCCCACTTGATTGGCACTACATCCACAAGTATCCACTCCCTCCACCACTGACGCTCAGTAGCAACAGTGTGTACTATTTACAAGATGCACTGCAGAAATTCACCAAAGAACCTCAGACAGCACCTTCCAAACCCATGACCACTTCTTCTAGAAGGACAAGGGCAGCAGATATATGGGAACACCATCACCTCCAAGTTCCTCTCCATATCACTCACCATCCTCACTTGGAAATATATCACTGTTCCTTCACTGTCGCTGGGTCAAAATCCTGGAATTCCCTCCCTAATAGCATTGTGGGTTGACCCACAGCAGGAGGAGTGCAGTGGTTCAAGAAGGCAGCTTACCACCACCTTCTCAAGGACAACTAGGATGGACAACAAATGCTGGCCAACCAGCAACGCCCACATCCCACAAATGAATCGAAAAAAAGCATGTGGCTTACTCTCAACTGCCCTCCAGGCAATTAGGGATGGGTAATAAATGCTGGGCCAGTGATGCCCTCATCCCATGAATAAATAAAGAAAAAAGAATTTCAAGGGAGATGAAGAGGTGCAGGGCTGGATGAACACAGCAGGCCAAGCAGCATCATAGGAGCAGAAAGGCTGA